ACCTCGCTCGGCCCGTCGCGGGTGGTCTCTCACCTGCAGGACTTCGCCCAGGGCCTGCGCGGGATGGCCGCACAGTGGGCATTGGTCGATGTACCGCCGGGCCCTACAGTGGCAGACGTGCTGAAGTTCTTTCGGGACATCGGCTGGAATGCTGCCGAGGACGGGCGCGTGTGCAGTGAGTTCGGCGACCCAGTGGCCCAGCGGAAGATTTGGGTGCTGGCGTCAAAGGCCGGAAGGCCGGTGCCCGCGGGATGGCTGGGGAGCCACGAGGCTAACCGCCACCCCCGCTGCCGATGGCGGGGGGAATGCTGAATGCACGCCGAATCGACGAGAGTGAGTGGCTGGCGCCCGAGGACGGGCGCCTGGTGGTGGACCCGCGGGCAGCGAGGTCACCGCACCACCTCCCACGTATCATTGGCCACTTGCACCCGCAGGGGCACATCGGCAGGCGCCCCGTGTACGGCAGTTCAGGCCCCTCGCCGACCCCTCGGGTGGAGGAGAGTGGAACGCTGGAGCCCGTCCTGGTCCACGACGCGAAGGGCCCCCCGCCGGGTGTCCGGCCACTCCGGGCGCAGGAGGTGTGGCACTTACGTGGAGGAGCCAGTGCCGACTGGGAGCACTTGTGCGCGCAGGTGAGCCACGAGGACGTGCTGAGAGGAGTCCTGCGCGCGTGCCCCCCGCGCGCTGCCGCGGCGGCGCTGACCGCTGCGCTCAGGCAAGAGCGGAGGCGGCCACGGAGACAGGAGGGAGGACCGCGGGCATCTGCCGTCGGCCAGAGGATGAGGAGAGGAGGCGAGAGCTCACGAGCTGGCCTCAGGCCGACGATCGGCGTCGGCAGGAAGCAGCGAGGAGGGGTGAGCGGCACGGCGGCATGCTGCCAGGAGGGCCCACCCCATCCACGGCTCTGCCCCCGGGCACGCCGCGGCAGGAGGAGCCACCAGCAAGGCACCCCCCGCCCAAGGCGGCGCCGGGCGGCCGCCTGCCCCCCATCTGGGAGGAGCAGCAGCCCGCGGCGGTGAAGGCACCGCCACGCGCGGCCAAGGAGGATGCGCAGCCCGAAGGGCCGCCCACCAAGGGTGCACCGGGCGGGCCGGCAGGAGCAAGAGGAAACCCGCCCTTCGGCAGGAGCCGACACGCGGGGGGTTCTGAGGATGAGAACTGGGGCGACTGGACGCCAGCAGGGAGACGTGAGAGTGGCGAAGGGGTGGGGGGTGGTGCCAACAGTGCGGATCAGGCCCCCCCCCTCCGAGGCGAGGGACGCCTTGCGCCCGTGCCCCTACCTGGAGCATTCTCAACCTGCGACCGCCGTTGACGGCGGGGCGCTGTGGCGGCCTGGGTTCTGCTGCAACAAATGCGCGGGGCGGTCGGAGGGAGCCGACTGGGCAGAAGGAGGCGCGAAGCACTTCAAGCACTGCGAGAAGATGCCTCACGGCCAGCCACCCGCAGAAGGAGACGGCCCGCCAGTGACCGCGGCGGCTGGCAAGAAGCGCAAGCAAGAAGTCGCTGAGGCGGCCGCCCGGGTGCTGGCCGCCGCCGCCCTGGCCGCCCCTCCCCCAGAGCCTGAGCTAGGGGCTAGGGGCAGTGGAGGAGCGAGGTGAGGAGAGCGGCAGTCGCGGAAGCCAGAGCGAGGAGAGCCCACCCCCGTCACCGGGAGAGCTCGTCCGGCGGGCGCGTGCAGAGCGGGCGGCGGCCCGGCAGAGGAAGGCGGAGGCGGACCGGCTCAAGAACGCAGCCAGGCGGTCGGGTGAGGGACAAGCTGGGTACGTCCGCCTTAAGGCGAGGACCCCCCCTGCGCCAACCGAGGTCAAGCAGGAGGAGGTTTCAGAAGAGGAGCCCCTGACGGAGACGACGCGGGCGGTCGGCCAGGCCTACCGTGCCCTCGCCCGGCGGGTGGATTTCCAGAGGACAGGGATCTGGTCTGCCCCCGAGGAGGAGGGCCGCCCCCCCGGGCGGGCCACCAGGGCGGAGACACCAGCCGCCCACCCCCGGCCTGACCGAGAGCCGCTCCCACAGCCGGAAGGCCGGGCCGGCCGCGAGCCGCTCCCCCAGCCGGAAGGCCGGGCACCTCCCCTTGGAGGGTCGAGCGGGTCTGGTGGGCCAGTGGGGTTGCCGCAACCTCCCTGCCGCAGGGCGCAGCACGATCCGCTCGGGTACCCGACGAGGGCACAGGCGCCTCGAGGGGCAGGAGAGCTGGGTCAGGAGGTGCACCCAGGAAGGCCCGGCGGACCGGCGCGCTCTGCCGAGGACGCGAGGGATCTCGGGTCGTCGGAGTCCTACTCGGAGAAGGGGCCTGAGGGCGCAGAGGAGGAGGTCCCGACGTGTGCGCGGGCGCGGGCGTTCGACAGGGGCCTGGTGGAGCGCCACAAGGAGGAGGAGGAGGAGGAGGAGGAGGAGGAGGAGGAGGAGGAGGAGGAGGAGGAGGAGGAGGAGGAGGGGACACCGCCAAGGGCGGTGGCACGGACCGCCCGCGGCTCCACTGAGGGTCAGCCGCGCAAGCGTCCTCGCACGCCGCGCCGTGCTGCCTATCGGCGGGAGGGAGGAGAGGCGCGTGAGCGTGAGGAGGTGGTGCTGCGAGAGGCGCCGGCGGCTGGGCCGCCCGGGGACATCGACCCGGAGGCGGTGAGCCTACTTGGCGGCGGCAGAGGGCAGCGGCCAGGGCAGTGAAGGGCTAGAGCGGCAGCTAAGGCGGATCGCCAGGGAGGACTCCAGGCGCGCCGGCGGGCGTGCGGATGCAGGTTACGCGCCGGAGCTCCAGAGGTTGGTGGACGCAGCAGTGGTGGCTTCGGTGGCCAAAGGGACGAAGGCGACCTACGGTGTGGCTTGGAGGCAGTGGACGACTTTCTGTCGAATCCGCCGGAGGTCGCCCATACTGCACGGTGAGACGCGCGAGGAGCGCCACCAGGATGAGGAGGAGCTGCTGCTGTTCATGGTGCACCTGTACAACAGCCTGAAGCGATCGCACGGTACGATACGGTCGAAGTTGCTGGGGATCCGTTCGCAACATGTGATGTTGGGGGAGCCCGACCCCTTGGCGGGGAAGCCGCGGCTGTGGATGGCGCTAAACGGGATCGAGAACTGGCAGGGCCCAGGGAGGAGGAAGCTCCCGGTCACGACCAAGATGCTGAGGAGGATCCGAGACATGCTGAAGCCAGACACCTGCGCGGACGACGCGGCCCTGTACCTCTGCGTGATCTTCGTGTTCTTCTTCATGATGCGGATCGGGGAGTACGCTCATTCGGGGCACTGGGACTTGAAGAAGGTCCTGACTGGACTGGACATTGCCCCGAAGTGCAAGGGTGAGCAGGTGAGCCACTTCGCTGCGGCGGACGAGGTGGTGCTGTGGTTCAAGTCGTCGAAGGCCGACCAGAGGGGAGCAGGGCAGGCTAGGAACCACTACCGTTCGAACGACCCGTTCGGCATATGCCCAGTGTGGGCGGCGGAGTGCTACAACCGCTGGTTCCCGAGCCGCATCTCGGGCAAAGAGGCACACTTGCCGCTTGCGAGGTGGGCGGACGGCAGCCCGATCACGCGGGAGCGCATCCAGGGCTTGCTCCAGAAGGCGGCGGCGCTGGAGGGCTACCCGCCTGACAGGTTCAAGAGCCATTCGCTCCGCATTGGCGGAGCGACCGCCCTGTACCATTGTTTCCAGGACACCAAGCTGGTGAAGCGTTGGGGGCGGTGGAATAGTGGCGCCTTTCACCAGTACTTGTGGGAGGCAAATGAGGATGCGGCCGGCGTGTCGGAGGCGATGGCGAAGTCCGTCGCAACCTTGCACGTGGGATACAAGGCGTCGGTGGCCGGAGAAGGTATGGCGGTAGACGCGAAGGGGAATTTGGCTTCCTGAGGGGAGGCGGCTGGAGTTCTGACCCGCCGGGTCAAGATGGAGACTGGACAGTTCGAGGCCCAGCGGAGTGAGGCCTGAAGTTTTGCGCCGTGGTGCGGCACCCCTGAGGAGGCCAGTGCTGGATTGCGCGCAGTCCGGGGGGCAGTGGCCTGGGGCAGTGGTGACCGTCATGAGCGGCGGAGGTGAGGAGTTCGAGGGCTGGGGCGTCCCGCCAGTGCGGTCCCCGAGGAGAGGCGGAGGAGGGCCAGGGCGTCCCGCCAGTGCGGTCCCCGAGGAGAGGTGGAGGAGGCTGGCGGGCGTCTCGCAAGCGGCGGCCTCTGAGGAGAGGTGAAGGAGGTCACGCGCTGTGCAGTGTGAGCCGCCCAGCTGCGAGCCCCGTTCGGCACTACCCGCAAGTCACGGGCGCCGAGGGGGTGTGAGGAGCTGGGTGGCCGTGGGGCCGCCAATCCGGCGGCACAGCTGGGCCTCTGCCGAGGCCCGGCATGAGCGAGGAGGAGGACGGCGCGCGTGAGCCTGCGGCTGCCAAAATCGCGCGCGCCTGCCTCCGCAGCTAGTGTTTGTTTTGTTGAGCCCGAACAGTGCTTGTGCTCGCTGCGCCGTCTCGGGCGCTCACTGTTTGGTTTCTGCCAGGCACCTTCTCACATAAACGTGAGAGTTTGAGCGTGCGTAAAACGTAAGGTTTCAGGGAGTAAGTGCCTGGTGAGGGGGAAGGGTCTTCTCCTGCTTTCTGTCCCTTTCCCCCTCTCCGCGGCCCCTTTGGGGCTCAAGTTTCTCATCGGGCCCTTCCCTCCCAGGCCCTCCCTGGCCCTTCGTCCTTTTCTTTTTCGGCCTTGACCGCCTAGCGGTTCGGGCCGTGGGGCCGCCAGTCCGGCGGCACAGCTGGGCCTCTGCCGAGGCCCGGCACGAGCGAGGAGGAGCGCGCGTGAGCCTGCGGCTGCCAAAAACGCGCGCGCCTGCCTCCGCAGCTAGTGTTTGTTTTGTTGAGCCCGAACAGTGCTCGCTGCGCCGTCTCGGGCGCTCACTGTTTGGTTTCTGCCAGGCACCTTCTCACTTAAACGTCCTCCTCCGCTAAGAGAATCTGGGTTTGGGCGGCCTCCTCCTCCTCCTCTCTCCTTCACTCCTCCCCCTCCTCCTGGAGGGGCTCGGCACTTTTGTCCCCCGCTCACGACCCTGCGCCGTCACAGCCCCGTCGCGCGCGAGCGCTCGCGCGAGCGCGGCGGGCCCTGGCCGCGCGGCGGCGGCCGGGCCTCGCCCGCACCGTCGGTGGCCCCCGCAGGGCTCGCGCTCAGTGGGGCGCGAGGGGCTCGGAGAAGCGGTTCCTCTGCGCGGGACGCACGAGGACATACGGTCAACCCGCATCATAAGGACGCGCGGCAAGGATGCAAGGGCCTTGGATGCCCATGTGCACGTTTTTGCGAACGAGGCTGGCCAGCGAAAGTCGCTAAGGATGGGCTGAAGGGGCAAGGATGCAAGGGCACCCTTGGGAAGGTTGCCCATCCTCACTATGCGGGTTGACTGTGCTGCGCGTCTCCCTCGGAGGCGTGCGTCCGACCCGATCCTTTAGCACAACCATCGTGCAGCCTCTATCGTTTCCCGAGCGGCATGGCCAGAAAACGCCCGCCACCGAGCATACACCAGAAGATGACTTGGCCCGCGTGTCGCCCGTTTGGGGGCGTCGCGCGCGCACACACAGCATGACTATGTTTGGGTGACGCCGATGGGGGGGTAAGGAATGAGTAGCAGGTTTACGTCGACGGCTGGGACGAGTCACGAAACCAGATAAAATAGCGCGTGGGAGTTCAAAAAGAGAGAGCAGCTGTGAACTCCTCGAAACGATCCCGCATCAGAGGGGAACTATCTTCTAGCTCGCGTGGCGCACATGAGCCAGGCTCGGAGCACCAGTGGTGAACAAACCGAACTGCGGCGGAGGGGGAGGGGAGCAGGAATAGAGACACGCTCTATGGCCAACTTGTTCGTGCTGACAGGACCACATGACATGGAGGGGGAGGGGAGGAGGGGGAAGAGACAAGCTAGGTGCGCTCGCGTCATATCTGACATCCCACCCTCCCTCCCATCCCTTACCATGGCGTATATCCCCTCTCTACTCGCACAGTCGGATGTCGAGCAGGGCAATGATCCCGAAAGGGCACGCGATGCATTGTAGAACACGGCATGGCATGGCGTAGAAGAGCACCGAAAACCGTAGTATGTCACAGCATGGCGTGGCGTGGCGTAGTGAAGAATTGCATCACAAAGCTTTGCAACGCAAAGCATGGCATCGCACAGCGGCCCCGAACATAACATTGCATAGCATGGCGTTGAAGATCAAAACGTAGCATGGCATAGCACGACGTGGCACTTAAGCACTGCACATCACAACTTCAGCTGAAGGCACGGCATCGCGCAGCGGAACGCAACCTGGCATTGCATTGCATGCCGTGGCATGGCACGGGAAATGACGCCAGCGCTGCAGCGGGAGCACGATCCGGAACGAGCGGAAGCGCGGAAATGAGGCCAGCGCTGCAGCGGGAGCACGATTCGGAACGAGCGGAAGCACGGAAATGAGGCCAGCGCTGCGCAGCGGGAGCACGATTCGGAACGAGCGGGGCCCGAACATGAGGCTGGCGCCTCAGCGAGAGCAGCATTTTGAAAACAAAATGCATGCGAAAACCCAACTCCGGGGAATCCTGTGTAAAAAACACTACGCGGGAGGGGGGGGGGGGGGAACACTCCCAACCCGTCATCAGGGGAAGGAAGAGAGTTGTATTCATATCAAGCTAGGTGCGCTCGCGTCATATCTGACATCCTGCCCCTCCCTCCCATCCCTTACCATGGCGCAGATCCCCTCTCTACTCGCTCAGTCGGATGTCGAGCAGGGCAATGATCCCGAAAAAGTACGCGATGCATTGTAGAGCACGGCATGGCATGGCGTAGAAGAGCACCGCAAACCGTAGTATCAACCTAGCATTGCATTGCATGCCGTGGCATGGCACGGGAAATGACGCCAGCGCTGCAGCTTCAGCACGAGTCGAAACAAGCGGAAGCGCGGAAATGAGGCCAGCGCTGCAGCGGGAGCACGATTCGGAACGAGCGGAAGCACGGAAATGATGCCAGCGCTGCAGCGGGAGCACGATTCGGAACGAGCGGGGCCCGAAAATGAGGCCGGCGCCTCAGCGAGAGCAGCATTTTGAAAAAACATGCAGGCGAAAACCCATCTCTGGGGAAACCTGGGTGTAAAAAAACAGGACGCGGGGGGGGGGGGGGGTCGGCCACTTTCAAACCGTCATCAGGGGAAGAGGGAGAGTAGTATCCATATTGAGTAATTGGGAAGAGGGGAGGCAGAGTAAACCCAGGATGCGTCAAGGACGTTTCAATACGCTCGCCCGTCCCAGGTCCCATCCCCATAAGCCTCTACAAGAATTCCCTGTGCCCCCCGAGAGACGAGCGCTCCAGTCCTGGAATTTGGGCGAGAGCCCCGTTTTGAAAAGGAATTGCCATCAATACTTCGAGCTATGAGGGCGGCGACGTAAGCGTATCATCACATCCAAACAAATGTTTTGCGAGATGCCCGTCATGAAAAAGAGCGCCGCTCAATCCGTATACACTGTCACACAACCTAAACAATCTTCGCAACCTCAACTGTCAAGTTTGGCCAAACAAACACGCAATCCTCAATCCTGGCAAACAAGTTTGGCCACACAACCAAATAAAGTCGTAAGGAAAGAGCCCGCACTTTGCATGGAGCTGTTCTCCGTCGGTGTATATGCTGCACACTTTTACATGTCTGAGCATGAGGGCGGAAGGAATATCACACAAAACTTACACTCTGACAAAGAACCACCATCCATCGGCTTCACTGTTGCATGCTTTTGAAACGAGCGTGCGCGGCGCTGAACCACATTCTGAAAACCATCCCGTCCATCGGTGGACTTGCTGGAACCAGAAAATGCGCGGCGCTACGGCGAAAACCACAATCTGGAAAGGATCAGCCCAGCATCCGCGAAACTGGATGTTGTTCAAGAAAGGGTGCGCGGCGCTACGGCAGGAGACGCGGAGGGTAGCTTCGAAGCCCCCCTCCTTTCCAGCACCAAAAAGGGAGGGAGGGGGTGGGGGCTTCCGAAGTCCCCCCCCCCCTGGCAAAAAGGAACCCAGGCTTACCTCGGCGGGCGCCGGAAACGGAGGGAGGGGGGGGGTTAGCTTCGAAGCCCCCCACCCACCCTTTCCAGCACCAAAAAGGGAGGGACGGGGGGGGGCTTCTGAAGCAAGTTGGGGGGGTAGCTGGAAGCTGGGGCCCCCCTTTTTGCTTTGCCGTCGCCACGCGCGCGCTTTCGTACTGATTAAGACATGATTGATGTTCAGCTGTGTTGGTACATGTGGCACGCCGATCCTTGTCGCCATGGCCCGCCTCGAGAACAACAGTACGTTTGGAACGTATGCTTACGTCTTTGAGGGCAGCATGCATGCGACGAGTACGAGCTGCAAACCCCCTTCGGTTTAATTGTGTTTCTCAAATCGTTGCAATGTGCACTCTTGCATGTTACATAATCAGAGATGCCAGGAGGATAATACATGCCATGGGAGACAGGAGAGACACATGCAGCCATCGCCGGGCTTCGACAAAGTCGGTTCGATCTTGGTAGCGCGGGCGCCAACCTGAGGGCGTTGTGGGCGCCAGGCTGTCACTGACACGCCGACAAGGCTTGGCGGTCAGTGGCTTCCTCCTCCTCCTCCTCCTGCTGCTCCTCCTCCTCCTCCTCCTCCTGCTGCTGCTCCTGCTCCTCCTCCTGCTCCTCCTGCTCCTCCTCCTCCTCCTCCTGCTCCTCCTGCTCCTCCTCCTGCTCCTCCTCCTCCTGCTCCTCCTGCTCCTCCTCCTCCCACCAGAGGCCTTTCCTACCCGCTTCGGCTCCTCGGCGGGAAAGGGCGGGGCGCAGCTCTCGGAGGCCCGAGCGGGGCAGACCGCGCCCAGCAAGCCTGCCGACTCCCCTGCGGCGACGGCCCGTCGGGCTCCTGGCCGAGCCCAGGCAGATCGGGCGGGTGGCAAAAGGGGGCAGGCAAGCGCGTCCCGCTGCTCCTCGCAGAGTGACTGCTCGCAAACGGCCTGGATCCCCCGCGGAGGATCTGCGATACATTTACATCGAAGTGGACATATGTTTTGTTTCTGACTTTTGCGAGTCGGCGCTTTGCGAGCAGTGGAGCGCGCTCGGCGAGGGCGAGGAGGAGGAGGAGGAGGAGGAGGAGGAGGAGCAGGAGGAGCAGGAGGAGGAGGAGGGGGGTGACCCAAATGGTGGGCGAAGGACAGGGCCCCAAAGGGGCCCTTGGGGCCCCTCTTGGGCATCTGCTGGCTCCAAAATGTGTGGGCTCCTCGAAGGCCCTTTTCTGAAGGGGCCCCACAAATAAATACACACAAATGAAAGGATTCCCCATATTTTCGCATATTTTCTGGGTTTTCGTCTTACCCCCCATTTCCCATATTTTCTTATATTTTCCTGGGACTCGACGATTAATTGTGTCTGTGTGTTTTTTCTCCTCCTGATTTGCTTCACCCCCCATTTGGGCCATCCCTCGTTACAGTACATGGACATTAAATTCGAACCCTGTTGCCCAAGATGCCCCCCAGACCCCCCGAAATTAATATTGATGGCATGGCAAGCACCGCCTTTACTAAGATCAGCATTGATGTCGGGGGCGCGGGGGTGATTTAGAATCTCCCTCGAATGTGCAAGGGTTCGACTATATTGTCCATGTACGGGAGCAGAGCGCGCCGACAGCCGCCAGCGGGCTTGTCCTGGGGCGGACCCCGTCCTTGCGGGCGTCGAGGAGGCCGGCGACATGGGCGGCGACGACCACGACCACGCCGAGCCGACGACGACGATGACACTGAGATCCGAGTGCTTCAATTTTTCACACAGGGTGGCTTCGCCCTGCTTCGGGCTCCAGGACCATCATAGATCGATGCGGCCCGAAGGATGCCGCAGAAAGATCGGGTCCTGGTCGCGACTTGTCGCGATGTTGAAGTTTTTGATCGCGTCTGATCTCAGGGGGCCATCATGCCGACGGCTGCTGGCAGGCAGGGGGTGAGGGGGCGGGTCCTGGGGCGGACGCTGTCCCTCAGGGCGTCGAGGAAGCCCTCCAGCGTCGCCAGGCGCTCCTCGAGGCCGTCCTCGCCGGGGCTGGGGCGGGGTGCAGCTGTTCACCTTCGCAAGAAAAAGACCCGTGGACGTCTGCGGCGGGGCAGTGCGTGTGGCCAAGGTGAAGCCAAAGCCGGGACACCGTCGGACTGGGATGCATCGAGATTGTTATAGGGATCACAGACTCTGCGGTCGCGCAAGCTGGTCGGGCTCAGCACGGCCGCTGCAATGCTGAATGGTGCGCAAAAGTAGAGGCCTCCTAGATGGGGTCGGAGCAGATGGGGTCGGAAGATCGCACCGCACTGCCGATAAATCTGCGACGCAGCGGCGATTCACCGGCGATGCATCGGCGACGTCGGCGGTGCATCGGCGACGTCGGCGTGAAGCAAATTGGGCTCCGCATCGAGCCGCATTGTGGATGCATCGGCGATGCGGCGCGATCCTCCAATTCCCACCTGCTCGGACCCCATCCAGGAGGCATAGATCACAAACTCGGCGGTCGCGCGAGCTGGTCGGACTCAGCACGGCTGCTGCAATGCTGCATGGTGCGCAAAGGGGGGGGGCGCGGAGGTGGCGAGCGGCGGTCGCGGAGGAAGGCGGCCCCCTCAGACCACGCAGGCCTTGCAGAGGCGTGCTGCGGCCCAGGCTCTGGGGAAATGCTGAGAGTAGGGGGCGCCCAGGGTGCGTTCTGAAAGAAGGTTGTGCTGCATTTTCGGGGGACCGTTTCTGTCCCGTCGCGCCGCGATCCACATCGAATCCGTGTCCCGTGTCGAATCCACGTCGAATCCGCGTCGAACCAACGTCGGAAAACAAGAAAAGACGCCCATTTACAGGGCAGGAGAAGTCCCCCGAAGATGCAATATAAAGAGGGCCGTGCAGAGGCGCAGGGCAATGTGGTGATCCGGGCAGTATGAACTTATCAAAGCCCACGAAGTCTTTGACGACAATAAATATACCACTGATGATGAAAGAGCATATCATTCTCACATCGCGCTCGGTCTGACTAAGGGCCCGGAAAAGGTCCGGGCCAAAGTGCAATGGTACACCCGCTATGCTACAGCCTTGCTCTGCACTGTCTGCATACTGCAACATAGCATACACACAATATGTACAGCGTATATCTCACACCCGTGAAAGAGGGAAAAACAATGAAACAGAGAGAAGCCTTTTCTTCAATCTGAAACATAACAAATCCAAGTAACCATACCTAAGACATCCAGATCAACATTGCTAAGATGCATTAGCAATACACATACTGAAAATCAAAGTCATAATGCGTGAGAAAGTGTAACTAACTCTACGCTAAAGAAACAATGCCGATATGTCGCACTGCACATGGATGGATCTCCAAACCGAAATCCACGATCACAGAGGGATTTCCAAACGAAATCCACCATCGTAAACTCTCGGGCAGCAAGCAATGAAAGCCGCAAAACAGAGAAATAATAGTATTGAATGCCAACCTCACTTGTGAACTCGAAAACCTTCTGTCAACTCTGGCTCGGTCGTCACCTCGCCTGCTCTGCGAAACCCTTGGGTCTGATGCTGAAACCTCCAAGCGTCTGCGTTCCCACCGTCTGGCCGTATATAGGTCGTTCGATGAGCCGCCTCGTTCGTCGCTTGATTGTCCTTTTGGTTCTCTCTCCTTCTCGATCTTCTCCTTCTCGATCTTCGCCCGTAGAACTGCCAAATCAGTCTTGTACTTGTACTCGGCCTCCTTGATCTTGATCAGGTAGGACGCAGCTGGGTAGGCTCCACATAATCAAAGAAATAAGAAAAACATTGGAAACCAAACCAAAATACCATAGCCGTTGTTCTCGTTCTTCGTGTCGTACCCCGTGCGAGCCGCCGATCTGCAACAACTGTTTGCGAATGCTGCCAACTGCATGAACGGTGTAGTTGCCTTCCGCGTTGCCGCCGATGTCACCGGCCTTGTCTGGTCTATACTCTCCTGTCGCTCTTCCTTGGTGTTCTTCTTTGCCACCGTGTAGTTCGGGTCATGCTTGAGCTGTAGCCTGCCATATCGTAGACGGTCGGCGAGGAGCTGTCTCGCCGCGATCTTCGCGAGCCCGTCCGCGCATTGCCTTTCTGAAGATACCCACCTCCAGCGTGTCATTGTAGCCTCCATCATCTCACGTAGCGCTAGCACCTCGATGCCGGTCCGCTTGTCCTGGAAGCTGGTGATGCCCTCCTTTTGGGCCGCGTCGTAGAGCGCCTTTGCGTCCACGACCAATGCTGACTCACCCGCCATGCGGGCGCTTTCATCCTTCGTGATGTCCACGCCATCGTAGATCAGGGCTGCCCAGAATCGCTTCGCTAATTCCAAGCCATCCATGCCCGCTGCTGCTGCCTGTGACTCCGCATGTAGAGAGGAACGTGCCATGCGTAGTAGCTGTAGCTTGAAGGACTTCCAGTCGATCACACTAAAGTCGGACTCGCGTCCGTCGAATATCTTCTTGTGGCATGCCAAGATGACGTAGCCACCTTGGCTAGACCCGCCCTGTCGAACTCCCCAGGCTGCGTCCGTCACTGCTACGAACACTGTGTCGCTTACCTGGCCGATCTTCTTCATCTTGAGCCCGACGTCCGAGTTCTGCTTGTAGAACCGCAGTGTCTTGTTCGCCTCCTTGGTCGCGCCCGCTGTCGCCGTAGGTAATTGCCCTTGGTGAATGCTAACCGAAGCCGAAAGATGGGGATAAGCTTGAGAGCTTGGCCACTGCAAAGCTCCGAGTAGACCTCGTAGCTGCCGCTTCTCCTTGATAGTGCGCTCCCTCGTGTTGTCGCTGCTCTTCTGGTCGATCGTGATGGGCTTCAGGTTCTTGGCGTAGGTCGCCATCTTCACTTCAATCTCGCTGCTGTTCGACTTCGGGTTCTCCCAGTGCGGGATCTGCGTCAAGTCGCTGCCGCAGCAGTCCATCTTGTCGTCTTCGATCCACTTCCTGAACTTGAACCTTCGTTTTACCTCTGTGATAGCTCGACTATAGTTACTGCCCGGCCGCCGATCTCCACCTCCCAGCATGTCGTCCACATAATGTAGAATGAACCCGTCATTATTGCCGTCCTCATCGAAACTGAGAAACGCGCAGGGGTCCAAAGGGTGCTGCTTGAGACCACTGGCCTTTAAGTCGTCCGCCGCGCGTAGCCACCAACGCCTCGGTGCGTCCACCTGGCCGTGCATTGGCTTGATGAGCTTCATAAGAGTATTCGGCTCGATGCCCATGAGTTCTGCTGCGTCTTTGGGCACCTTTCGTCCTTGAAGAAATCCAGTAGCTACATCTGCTGTCCATAGTCTCCAGCCGTTGTTGGCCGCCAGTAGTAGCGCCATCTGTCCTGCCGGTCTCGAGGCTGTAGGTGATGCCGTCGGTGCCGCGCCACTGAGTGCGCCGGGGTCGTTGAAACCTTGTAGTACCAGCCGCGCCTTGGCACGTGGCGTGCTGTCGTCGTTCTTTGTCCACTTGAGCACCCACTTCGCCTTGAGTATCCGCCGAGGGTCCTCCCCCCCGGTGGGCTTGTGAAACTCCCAGACGTCATTGCCGAAGAACTCCGTCAGCTCCTTCCGCTCGCCCTGCATGAATGCCGCGCGCTCGTGGGGCGTCACGTTCCTCGTGCTGATGTCCACGAAGATGTCGCTGAGCTTTGCATCCGTGCTGTTGAACTCCCAGCCGAATGGCAAATCCTGACTGGTGACCAGAAGCTGTAGAGCTGCAAGTTCGTCGTCAGCATCGTCGAGGTCCAATACTGGTACCGCGCTGCTCAGTCCAGGGTCGGGTAGAGTGCCTCTGAAGACTCCGCCTCCAGGTCTGGTGAATATCGCCGTCTCCGCTTTGTCCATCCTGAGCCGCTCTTTCTGAAGATTTGATATAGGCCTCGACCGCGTCTGTGTCGATCCGAGCTCCAGCTCCGATGATGGTGCTGCCGCCGCCGATGACGATGAGGCTGCTGGCTGCGCTGTCTGCGTTGGCTGTGCTGTCGGTTGAGCTGCTGGCTGCTCTTGCTCTGGTGGGGGGGTTGTCGGCATCGGCTCCTGGTCTGGCTGACCAGAGCTAGACGTCTGTCGACTGCCGTCGGGTATCGGCGCCTCCGCGTCAGGAAGATCCTCCGCTGGAGCTGCTGGAGCTAGTGGTATCTCTGGTGTTGCCGTGGCTGCTTCCGCCGCTGACCCAGATGACGATTCCTCTGTAGGTACCTCCGCCACGGGGGACGCCCTCGAAACGGGACCTCCTCCTCGACGTCGCTTGGATGCTGGACCTTCGTCTCCGTCTCCGTCCTCCGCGTCGTCGTCGACGTCCATGTCCGAATCGCCCGGTGCGTCGAACGGGGTTTGTTTGCTGTGAGCTGATGTCATGGTACTGTGTCACGCCCGTCCTCCGCATGTTGCCCAGTGCATCCTTGGCCTGGGTCAGGTTCTCGAGAATAACGCACCCTTGATCACACACGTCTGGCCGAACGTGCTCAGGTGCACACCGTAGCAGCTGTGTGCCGTGAACGATCCAGTAGATGCGTGGTCCACTCTCATCCTGGCGCATCTCCTTGAACACCGCGACTGCGGGGCCCTTCCACTTGTTCTTGATCAGCTTGTTAGTCTTGCCCTCGCGCCAGCAGTGCCACCGCTGGCCGATGGACAGATCGTGCTTGAGCGCCACGTGTCGTCGTAGGAGTGCGCGTCGAAGTTTAGCTGAGGCGTCCGCCTTCATGAAAGCTAACGCCGCCATTGACCTCCTTTCCAGCACGTCCTTGAAGTCCTCGTCCTCCTTCACCTGGTACAGGGTCGCTGGTGGGAACTTGTCGCTGGAGTTGGTCATCGTCGTAGTGGGATCCATGCCCAGAACCCACTGGCATGGTGAATACCCTTTTGTGAACGCCAGTCGGTTGACCTGGTGTGGCACATAGATGCACGCCTCGGTGATCAGTTTCTCGTCGAGCACCGTGTTGGCCGTACGCTCAATGGCGTCATGGCAGTAGTGCTCGATCGCCTCTCGAACCACCTGATGACGTCGCCGCACCACTCCGAGACTCGAGTGAGCCTCGCCTGCTGCGATCACAATACTGAAACTATGTTGCTCCAGAAACTGCGTGAACTTGTCCGACGCGAAGCCTTAGCCGTCGTCGGTGCGTAGCTCGCCCATGGGACCGAACTGCCTGATCCAGCCGCGCTCGACCGCCTTGATCAGTTCGTCGGCCGTTTCCGTCTTGATTGTCCGTAGGGCACAGTACCTGGTAGCACCGTCCACCATCGACAGGATGGCCGTCTTGCCTGTCGCTGTCTTGACCCAGAACACGTCGGTGTAGACGGTCTCGTTGAACTTCGTCGGCTGCTTGGCTGACGCTGTAGGTGCCTTAGGCGGGCGCTGCCGCTGCATGCAGTGCTCGCAGCGATACTCAGACGCGCAGTTGAGCACGTTCTCCTGAGCTCCTGCTTGCTGCAGTAGCCGATGTAGTACCGTCGGGCTGGGATGCCCCATGTTCCGGTGTAGCCGCCTGACGTAGCGCAACGCCTCGGTGCCGTATTTCTCGCGTAAACTCGGTCGCCCAAGGATAGCACGAACGACATGGCACAAATCGTGAAAGCGAGTTTGGCAGATGAAAAATAATTTCCATGTTTTGGATCGAGAACGTTGTTTTCCGAGCCCGACTTGCGCTATGTCGGGCGCGCTTCGCGCGGATCCTCTCGGCCCCGCCGGCCGAGGGGATGGGGGGAGATAAAGAGAGGGAACAAAGAGAAGGGGGATGTATCGGAGAAACCTCGCCCCCCAAAAGCGCCGCCCTGGCGGCGAGAGAGGGGGGCTCTCCTGAATTGTGCTACGCGAGCCGCGTGCTGCGCTACGCGCGCGGGGGAGGGGGGGGGGGGGGGGGCGAGGGAGAGAGCGAGCCTCAGCCTGCCTCAGCCTCGCCCTCAGCCTGCTTCAGCCTCAGCCTCAGTCTGCCTTCAGCCTCGGCCTCCTCAGCCTGCCTCAGCCTCAGCCTCGGCCTGCCTCAGCCTCGCGCGCATTTCGCGCGGATCCTCTCGACCCCGCCGGCCGAGGGGATGGGGGGAGATAAAGAGAGGGAACAAAGAGAGAAGGGGGATGTATCGGAAAAACCTCGCCCCCAAAAGCGCCGCCCTGGCGGCGAGAGAGGGGGGCTCTCCTGAGTTGTGCTATGCGAGCCGCGCGCATGCTACGCGCGGGGGGGGGGGGGGGGGGGGGCGAGGGAGAGAGCGAGCCTCAGCCTGCCTCAGCCTCAGCCTCAGCCTGCTTCAGCCTCAGCCTCAGTCTGCCTTCAGCCTCAGCCTCAGCCTCAGCCTCAGCCTGCCTCAGCCTCAGCCTGCCTCAGCCTCAGCCTCGGCCTGCCTCAGCCTCGCGCGCATGTCGCGCGGATCCTCTCGACCCCGCCGGCCGAGGGGATGGGGGGAGATAAAGAGAGGGAACAAAGAGAGAAGGGGGATGCATCGGAAAACCTCGCCCCCAAAAGCGCCGCCCTGGCGGCGAGAGAGGGGGGCTCTCCTGAGTTGTGCTATGCGAGCGCGCGCTGCGGAGAGAGCGAGCCTCAGCCTGCCTCAGCCTCAGCCTCAGCCTGCTTCAGCCTCAGCCTCAGTCTGCCTTCAGCCCCGGCCTCAGCCTCAGCCTGCCTCAGCCTCAGCCTGCCTCAGCCTCAGCCTGCCTCAGCCTCAGCCTCAGCCTGCCTCAGCCTCAGCCTCAGCCGTCTCCTTCTCCGCCCTGTCCTGCTTCGCCCGACGACTTAGTCGCCGCCATGCCCGTGTGACCATATCCATAAGATGGGCGGTAACTGGCGAGAGTATTACCTTCGTTAGGTCCAGTTAGCTTAATCCCTACAGGAAGTCCATTCTCGGCGGTGCTCGGCTTCGCCGGACCTTCTAGGGCAGGGCCTGGAATAATAAAGTGTTGACGCAACAACGGCCTCACGGGAGTTTCTTGCGAAAGCAACGGAAAGCCGAATGAATTCGATGTGAGTCCGGCTTCTCTTTTATTCTCAGAATATGGAGTCGGGTCGGCGATGATAGCCTTAAGCCTCATCTTTCCTTTCTCTGTATTAGCTGCGTTCGAAACAACCTCTTCTTCTCGCACGTTGGCAGCTGATCTTTCACTCTTCCACAGGTCGCATCTAAAGCATCTTCTAGTGCTCGCATCGATATGTTCTTCACACGCCGACCTACCACATCCGACGCAATCGTCCGTCTTTAGACGAAAACGAACGGCGCAGAATTGATCCACGGAGAGGGTGTTTCCCTTCTTCTCGGGAGGAGGATGCGTTGCACCTCCTACCAGCAGGGTCGATGCTCCCGCATTTGTCAAGGTCGTCTGATCAAATTGCGTTGGGGCGGGTACTATGCCAAACGACTGAGCCGTCGACAACTGGTGCATGTTCGTTCCAGTCGGCTTAGCCGGCGGGCATTTAGCGCTGCTCGATTTTATGCGCTGGAGGGAAGATCTAGCTTCTTCATGCGATTTGAGCTCTTCCAGATAAAGATTGTTGTGGTTGGTTTTCTTCGCAGCTACGGCTTGGGTGTTAGCTGCTTCCAGTCTGGCGTTATTGAGATCTTCTTGTAAGCTCTGTTTTTCTCGTTCCGCCATGACTGTCGCGATCTGTTATCCTTCTATCCTGGCCGCCGCAACGGCAGCGGCAACCGCGTTGGCGTCGGCAGATTCCTCGTTTGCCATCATGACGGCCCGTCTCTCCGAAGTCAATAATTCTCTCATTTACTTTCGGCTTCCCGCTCCACTTGCCGTTCAACGGTCTCGGTCTGATTATGCAGATGTTCTGTCAGCGCCTGTTCCCGCCCTCTAGCAGCCATGGCTAGGGCGATCCGCTCAGCCTCGAACGTTTTTCTAGCTTCGACCACAGTCTCAGTTAATTCTTCTTTGTCCAATCGAGCCCTTTCGGCCAGCTGCGCTTCATTGGTCAGAAACTCTCTCTGAGCGTTAGCCTCCGCCAGCCCGGCCTGGTCCCAAATAAATTGTATTAGGAGATGCGTGCAGTTATGCTCGCCCATTGGATAACGCTCCGCGCACAGCCATTGCATGTTACACTCACTGCAAACGCCCGAGCAACTAGTGCACACTGGGTTCCTACATGCGCCTTCTGGCCTGTTGGCTTTTACCTGGGCATCTGCCCTCCGCCCGAGGCGCGCAGTTAGGGTTGGGGTTCCAACGGGCCTCCATCATGGAAGCGGTGATGTTGCTCCTTGAAGTAGATCTCGCCCCTGATCTTGGCATCTTGGGTCTTCCCCTGCTTGAAGCATTTGATCTTGGGCGAATGAAGGTACTTTCTGGTGGTTTAGGCGCATTGAAGAACTCCTCCTACTTTTTCGTCTTGTGTTACTAGCTGAGCATAAGTAGCTGGTTGTCCGACCATTTCTTCATCCTCAACAACGGCTGGAAGCGAGGGTTGCCAGTCACCTGAGGTGGTGGCAGTACGGAAGAAACCTTCCCTCAGCGGTGAGACGTTTAGCTCGTAGTCCTCATTCCCTTGTTTCTTGAGGTGAGGCGCGGGGGTTCGTCCTGTGGACTCCCTCTCATGCTTCTTCTGGGCCTCCGCCCTGTCCGCCTGAGGCGTCAGGGCACTAGTGTCTTCATCGGATCCATCTGGAGACCATCTTTCGTCTTGAGCAGGTACGTCTTCTTCCATCATCACGGACGATGCTCGGCTCAGGGAAATATCATTATTGATGCTATCAAAATCTTCCTCCATGGAATATATTTCACGATCTTTTTCAATTGGGTCATCACCGGCCTGACCGAATTGTCCGTTAAGTGGTATCGGGGTTGGGACGTTGGCACTCGTGCCCACCCATTCGGTCGGGATATTAGGATACGCATTCATATTCCCACTTCCCCTGGCCGGCCGGCTTCACCAGCGGCAGTAGTAG